ATCATCACCAAGATCAGTGTCCAGGAGCTTATCATCTGTGTTTTCTTCTAGGACTTTTTTTTTTGTTTCAGGTCTTAGGTTAAAGTCTTCAGTTCACTTTGATTAATTTTTCTGTGTGTACAGTGTGAGGTAGTGTTCCAGTATCGTTGTTTAGCTTATGATGCCAGTTTTCTCCACATTTGCTGAGGAGACAATACTTTCCTTACTGTATATGCTTGACTCCTTTGTCTTAGCTTAATTGACCACATAAGCATGGACTTATTTTGGGGCTCTTTATTCTGTCTATTCTATTCTCTATTATAGTTCTGTTGATCTATGTGCCTGTTTCTATGACAGTACTATACTGTTTTGATTACTATATCTTTATAATATAGTTTGAAATCAAGAAGTGTGATGCCATTAGCTTTGTTGTTTCTTAAGATTGCTTAGGCTATTTGGGGTCTTTGTAGTTCCCTACCAATTTTAGGATTTTTTTGTTCTATTTCTGTGAAAAATGTAGTTGGAATTTTACCAGGCATTGCATTGAATCTGTAGATTGCTTGTTATTTATTTTCTTCTGCTGACTTTGGGCTTACTTTTTTCTTCTTTTTCTAGTTCCTTGATGTGTAAAGTTAGGCTCTTTATGTGAGATTATTTCTTGTTGTATGAGTTTACAGCTACCAACTTCCCTCTTAGAACTGCTTTTGCTGCATCTCATAGTGTTTGTGTTTCCATTTTTATTTGTACCAAGATATATTAAAATTTTGCCTTTGATTTCTTTAAGCCATTAGTTGTTCAGGAGTATTTTAATTTGCATGTACTTGTGAGTTTTCTAGTTTCATATCATTTTGATTGGAAAAGATATTTGTTATAATTTATTTTTTTAAAAATTGTTCAGACTGGTTTTGTGGCCTAACCTATGATTTATTGTAGAAAATGTTCTGTGAGTGCTTGAGAAAAATGCATATTCTGTTGCTGTCAATGGACTGTTCAGTATACATTTGTTAGGTGTATTTGGTCTGTAGTGTTCAGATCTGGTATTTCCTTACTGGTTTTCTGTCTGGATGATATATATCCATTGTTGAGAGTAGGGTATTAATGTCCCCAACTATTATTGTATTGCTGTTTATTTCTCCTTTTAAGTTGTTAGTAATTGCTTTATTTAGGTGCTATTAGGTGCTTAAATATAATTGTTATATCACTGATGAATTGACACCTTTAGCTTTATATGACCTTCTTTCTTTTGTTCATTTTAGCTGAAAGTCTATTTGTCTAACATAAGTATAGCTACTCCTACTTTCTTTTGGTTAACATTTGCTTGAAATTTCTTTTTCCATCCCTCTGCTCTTGGTTTATGTGTATCCTTAAAGCTAAAGTGAGTCTTGTAGAGAGACTGTCTATCATAAAGAGACTGTCACGTTGTTGGATCTTGATTTTTTAATCCATTCAGCCATTCTGTGCCTTTTGATTGAGGAATTTAATGTTTATGTTTAAAGTAATGATTGATGGGTAAGGACTTACACCTCTCTCACCAGCTCCACAGTCCTTTGATACTTTTTTGAAGTGATATGCTTTGACTCTTACCATAATCTTTTGTGGTTTTCCTTTGTGGTTAACCTGAGGTGTATATAAAATATATTTATAACATCCTATTTATACTGATAACAACTTAATTTTGATAGCATACAGAAATTTATACTTTTTCACCTCTCACATTTTAGGTTGTTGATGTTACAGTTTACATATTTTTACATTGTAGAAGTTTTCATAGTTATAGTTAAATTCTCATAGTTATGGCTATTTAAGTACATTTGTTTTTTAACTTTTAATGCAGACTTGTAAGAGAACTATATATTACCACTGCAATTTTAGATAATCTGATTTTGACTGTATATTTACCATTACCAGTGAGTTTTACACATTCATATGTTTTTATCATGCTAATTAGCATCCTTTTATTTCAGCTTGATGAATGTTCTTTAGCATCTCATATAAGGCAGATTTAGTGACATTGAACCCCCATCAGCTTTTATTTGTTTGGGAATATCTTTGTCTCTCTTTTACTTCTTGAAAGGCAGCTTTTCTGGGTGTAGTATTCTTGGTTGACATACTGTTTCTTTCAGTATTGTGAGTATATCATCCAACTGCTGGCCTGTCAAGTTCCTGCTATGAAATCCACCTGTAGCCTTATGGAAGCTCACTTGTTTGTGAACAGTCACTTTTCTCCTGCTTTCAAAATTTTTTGTTTTTGACTTCTGACAGTTCAACTCTTATGTGTCTTGATGTAGCCTTTTATTTTTTTTTTTTTTGAGTTCAGCCTACTTGGACCGTTCGGCCTTATGAATCTGGATGTGCATTTCTCTTCCCAGGTTTGGGAAGTTTTCAACCATTATTATTTTAAATAGACTTTCTGGCCCTTTCTTTCTCTTCCCCTTCTGGAACTTCCATAATGAACGTGTTGTTTCATTTGATGGTATCACATGAGTCTCCTGTTCTTTCTTCACTCTTTTTCTTTCTTTTTGTTTGTTTCTTTGACTGGACAATTTCGAATAACCCGTCTTCAAGTGTACTCATCGTTTTCTTCTGCTAGGTCGAGTTAGCTGTGGAAGCTCTCTATTGAATTCTTCAGTAGAGTCATTGTATTCTTTTGCTCCAACAGTTTGTGGGATTTTTTTTTTTAACACTTTCTCTTTCTTTTTTGAACTTGTTTTGTTCATGCGTTGTTTTCCTAATTTCGTTTAGTTGTCTGTGTGTTCTTATAGTTTGCTGAATTCTTTAACAGATTTATTCTGAATTCCAGGTCATATAGTTCATGCATCTCCATTTATTTAGGGTGAGTTATGGAGCTTTACTAGGTTTTTTGGTGGTCTCATGTTTGCCTGATTTTTTTCTTGAACCTTGTTTCCTCGCATTAGTAGCTGCATGTGTAAGTAATTGGTCTCTTCTTCCGTGTTTTACAGGTTTGCTTTGGCAGGGAAAATCCATCACCTTTTAGCTTGGGTTATTGGATGTGTCAGCTTGTAATGTCCATGGGTGGGCAAGACTTGCTGCCAGGGTCTCCAGTTGAGTGTGCTCTGAGGTCGGGGTGGGGGTTACCAATGGCTGGCCTTGATGGTGGGGTGAGTCAGCCAACTCCATGTTCAAGCGGGGCTGCTCAGTGGGCTCCTTGACCAGGCAGGGTTGCTGGCTGTGCTCCACGGTTGCATGGGGCATCAGCTCTGCAGTTACCTCTGTCAGCTGAGTCACTGGCTGTGTTCCTTGGCAGGGTGATGCCACTGGTTGGATTCCATGATTGGGCAGGGTTCTGGTTGAGTGGGGTCTTAGGCTCTGCTCCCTGACAGGTGGTGCTCCTGGCTGGACTCTGTTGAGGCAGAACTGCAGGCAGAATTCTTGGTAGGACCTTAACCTCCATTGCGTTCTGTGATCAGATGGAGACACAGATTGTGCCTTGAAGTTGGGCAGGGCTGCAGGGTTGGCGTCACTATCCATAGGCCGCTGGGTATGCTCCGCTATTGAACAAAGTTGCTGGCTGGGCTCTCTGGTCAAGAGAGGCTTCTACCTGTTTCCTGCAGTTGAGGGGCTAGAGGCTGTTCTCTGTTGGGTAGGGTCGCTGCTGAGCTTCTTGTCTGGATAAGCCCCAAGCTATGTTAAGCAATTTGGCAGGGCTGTAGGCTCCACTTCGAGGCCACTTGGGGTCACTGTTCTGGCTCCCTGGCTACGCAGGGCCGGAGGCTATACTCTGTAGTTGGGCAAGACTGCTGGTGTTGCTCCCTGCCCAAGGGGGCTGTGTGGATGGGCTCCAGGGCTGCCTGGGTTCTCTGGTCCGGCTTCCTGGACGGTCCGGCTTCCTGGATGGTCTGGCTGGGAAGCCACACTCAGCAGTTGAGTGGAGCTGTGAATTTGCTTCCCCACCTTTGTGAGACTCCCCAGCTGGCCTTGGCCTGTTTCATGGGGACCCACATCAAGCAGAATTGCCAGCTGAGCGCTGCTCGTATACTGCCTCAAGCAGGAACACGGTCCATCCAGGTTTGAGCATTGGCTGCTGAAAGCCCGAATCCCTGTGGCTCCCACATGTTGAGACCCCTGTTGGCCTCCGAGGAAGCATCCAACAATGCTGGGAAGCCTGCCCTCTTTGCTGCTGGAAAACTGCAGTGGGGGCCTCTCAGTGGGGCTCTGTGCTGGCCTCGGGCAGTTTGCTCAGAGTGTCACCACTCCTCATACCCGCTACTGCAGTCCTCTTCTGTCTCTGGTCCAGAAGCGTGCATCAGCCTCACCCCTGGGTTTGGGATTTTCAGTGGTGTCCTGTCCCTGCGTAGTTGCTAGTTGCTCTTCTTGTGAGGGGCTGAAGTTGAGAATGACCTGTGTCACCATCTTGATGTCACTGAAGTCGGCACCTGGTGTTGAAAGACATTAGCTGCGTGGCGGCTCCACACAGATGTCCCCACCTCCTTCCTCTCCCTCCTTCTGTGATCAGAACTCAGTGTCCCTCTTTGCCTTCCTGTGCCTTTTGTGACTTTTCTTCAGGATAGTCCTTTATCATGCTTTGACTTGTTAAAGAATATTGGGGGATGAAGAAAGAAACACTGGTTAACAGACCTACTTCACTCTCAGGCTTCCATGTGGACCCTGATTTCATGTGCACTTAAAAAAAAAAGCCTCAAAATGGCACTGTTCTTCTTTTTTTAATTTTCTGGCCCTGCCATGCGGCCCATGGGATCTTAGTTTCCTGACTAGGGATCAAACCCTTGCCCCCTGTAGTGGAAGCACCGATTTTTAACCACTGGACCACCAGGGAATTCCCTTGTCTGGATTTTAATTGCCCCCCCCCCAACCCGGCTTTCTTAGGAACTTAACCTCTGATGTGGGCCAGGAGAGCAGAGTTGGTTTGGACAGGCATGTGATGGGCGTTTGTGGGTGAAGGCTGCACCCTATGAGGAGGATGGGCTGTTCAGTTAGGCAGGGCAGTTTTCCATAGACTAGTTGTTACTTTGTAATTAAAGAAGACATTTTGCTCATTTTAGGTATCATTAGAGAATCTGGTGCGAAGCACAAGGGGTTGATTGAAATACCCAGCCTGTCTGAAGAAAATGAAGTAGATGACACTGAGGTGAGGTATCTGATGGAATTTCTTTCTTTTCTTTGTTTTTAAATCGTTTCTGCTATACATATTGGGCAGCTGACAACCTGTGCCTGTGCGGGAACTCTGGTGAGCAGTGAAGGGCTCGTTTGCTGAGAAGGAAGCTGCGCTGTGGGGAGGCAGGGTGAGGTCTGGGCAGTGATGTGATAGGAAGGGCATGCCTGGGAGGCCGTGGACTGCACCCTCCGTGGCCTCCTCAACACCTTTCAAAGGTGTCCTCAGATGCATGTAACTGTATGTATACTGGGAAGTGCTCAGGTATCGTGCACTGCTTGGTGAATGGGATTTTGTATCTCCCTTCTCTGCATCTTTACTCTTTCCCTTTAATGGTGAAAATTCTCGGCTTTTCACCATGATCTCCCTTGGTTGTATCACATATTTTGGACATAAGTTAGTACGTGTGTTGGTTTTGACTGGCTCTTCTCATCGTCCGTGGGGAGAGCCTGTGTAACTCCTATGCTTGGTTTGCATCAGTGTCCACTTATAAGCTAAAAGCTTGGTTGTGGGGCGAAAACTTTTGTATGATAGCTATATTTTCCAGATGACAGTCTGACAGGGTCTTTTTTGATTTGTGAACATATTTAGTATGAAGGCCTTCACGATAGTAAGTCACACCAAACTACCAGGAGTTGCCTTTCTTAAAGGCTATGAACTGCCTTAAAAGTGGTAGCTTCAAATGTGTGGTCAGTGCACTCAGGGCCTGTGACTTCACTTTGCTCTGTCCATATCCATCAGCTCAGAAGTGTTTTAGCAGGATATTAAATTGGTCTTTTCAATTCAGCCCTTGGTAGTACTGCAGAACAAACTCTCTAATGTAGAACTGGGCCCTGGGAGCAGGCCCACCTCAACTGAATCACAGGGACATGAAGGGAGTTTCAAACCAGTACCACTTCTTTCTGAGAATACCAGGGGCACCCCCAGAGCAGCATTTTGACGTTTCCCTCTCCCTCCTCCTGTTCTGGCCTTCCCTCCTTTTCTCCCCCGCTTTCTCTCTTTCCCATCTCTCCCCCTTGCCAAAAAAAAAAAAATGTAGCCCAAGACCAGGATATGTGGGGACCTGATTTTCCTAATTAATGGAATTTGGGACTCTAGACAAGCACTGTTCAATAGATACATAATGGAAGCCACATAAAGAACTTAAAATTTTCTAGCAGCCGTTTTAGAAATATTTAAGAGAAACAGATAAAATTAGTTTTAATACTTTTTATTTTACCCAAAATATAAAAATACCATTTTAACATGTAATTAGTATCAAGGTTATTCATGAGATTATTTTATATTCCTTTGGTGCTAAGTCATTAAAGTCTGGTATATCTGTGTGATTTTACACTTTGAACGCATCTCAGTGGGTGCTCAGTCGCCACATGTGGCCAAGTGGCTGCCATATTGAACAGCACGTTTCTAGACTCCGAATGCTGTGGACTACATCATCAGTATGATACATATACACATAAAATATATGCAGATTAGGGGTTCACATTCTAAGAAGTCCCTTCAAGTTTTGGCCACCAGTTTCAGTAGACACTTGATAAAAAACTCTTACATCTTCTCAGACTATATGAAAAAACCTGTCACGTCTCTTTCACATCACTTCTTTCCCGTCCTTTGCCATCACAGTTCCCTCATCCATTTGTCCCAGTATTGTAAGAATACGTCAAACCAGATTTTTCTTCGGTTTGTATTTTTCTGATTTGTAGGTGAACGTGAGTAAAAAGAAAGGAGATGGGGATATTCTGAAGGATCTTATGAAAACTGCAGGCACCGCCAAGGTCAGGGAAGCCCTTGGAGATTACCTGAAGGCACTTAAGACGGGTAAAGAAGGCATCCTTGTGAACTAGAGGGTCCCTTTTCCATTTACCCAAATAATGCTCTGCACTGTAGTCTGGATTCCCAGTTTAGGTCAATGTCCCAGGTTCCAGAGACAGCTCTTTATGCTGCATGATAAACTGTAGTTTGGAGGTTGAGATCTAGTCATGAATTAGACCATAATTAGTGCTTATCAGTATTTTATACAGCCTGAACCATTTTGCCTACAGAATTGTTGATAGTTTCTGGAATGATAATTATTTAATCAACTGTTTTTATAATTATCTGTCTAATGTCTGTCTTCCCTGCTAGACTATAAGCTTCATGAGGGCATGGAAGGACTCTTTCCTGTTTACTGCTATCTCCAATGTCTAGCACAATGCCTGATGTATATAGTAGATGCTTAATAAATCTTTGTTGAATGAGCGAATGAAAGTGACTATAGGTATTTCAGGTGTAGTTGGAAACTTACTCAGATAATCCCTGCACTGAGTGGAACTGAGGTTATTGTCTTCTTTGCTAAATTAGAGAAGCTCCCTGCCAGGTAAAATAGCCAGCAGGGCTTGAATGTCTGCACCTCATCCTTGGACTCTGCTGAGTATCTCAGTGTTGGCATAGATGGGTTTGGGGTTTACTTTTCTCACGAGATCACACATGCTGCTGCCACAGGCTTGAATGGAGACCAAGCTTTGTGAGTTGGTGGTGGTGAAGCAGTGAGCCAAGTGTCTGGCTTTGATAGTAAGTGACGGTCATAAAGCTAACAGTAGTTAAGTGTATTAAGTGGAGCTTTTTGGAAAACAGCATTTGAAAATGCTGTTTTTATCAAGAACTAGATAAAAGTGAGGCATTCAGTAAAAAGGATAAAAGACATTTGTTGCTGTGGAACTCATATTAATGATTAGTTTTATATGTAAGGATACAGAATGGTCTTGAAATTCTCAAAATGGCTATAGGAATTCCTTCTATAAATGTTTCTTTATATTCTTATATACTGTTTTCAGTTTTCTGCCTATTTGTGCTGGAAGGGAAAAGGTTTGTTATTAAAGTTATTTCTCATATGTTTCCTTTATAGAATTTACATTGGGAATGATTTTACCAACCAAAGCTATGGCAGCCCAGGAATTGACAGTTAAAAGGAAACCGAGTGAGAATACCTTGCAGGTGTGATCTCTGGTGGACCATATGTAGGGAGGGGGGAAAGGAAGTGCTTGGTGTGTGGATGCGTGCAAGCTCAGCCATGTCCTACTCTGTGCGACCCCATGGGCTGTAGCCCACCAGGCTCAAAGGCTTCAAAGCTTGAAAAGCCTGTGACGATGGAGCACTATACAAGATACTGAGGAGGGCCAATTAATCCACCTTTGCATCTTGTGCCATTGTGGGGGGAAATGATGAAATGAGACTTTCATCCTTGATGGAAGGGATTGTATAAACTAGCCTTTTTGTTAAATATTTAATTTAGTTCAGGACAGTGCTGTTTTATCCTCGTTACACTACAGAGTCACAAAAGTGACTTTGAAGTTCACATACCACAATGGAAGGAGCATCTCTCCCTTTTTGGAGGATTGGGAGGTTTTAGATCTTGTTCTTGGACTATGGTGATGGGGAGTTTGACCCCTTTTGGCCTTAAGTGCTGTGTCCTTCACCTGTTTATCTTTATGCCACCTGGGCCATAGTTACATATCCAAGTAGGATTTGGGCTGTGAAGCCCTAGTCTGGGAGTGGAACAGAGCAAAGAAGCTCTGTTTCCAAAATAAAGACTAGAATTGGTGGTGCCTAAAAAGGCTTTTTAGTGGAAGGATAGTGTTTGGGACATTATGGTATTTTACTGAGACAGTAAGACTGAATTTCTAAGATCTCTTGTCATGCTAATTATGCTTTGGAACCTTTTGAGAGTCAGGCCTCCTCTCCGATGGCACTGGGCGTAAGGATTCCCACCGTGGCCCTGCACATGACGGAACTCTTTGACGCAGCTATCGAGCAGCTGTACAGAATCTTCACTGTGAAAGATGTAAGTGACATCTCAGTATCTGGAATCAGAAATGCTGACACTGGGAGAGAATATGCCACTAAGAACTGAAGCTGGTTTTTGGTTTCCTACATGACTATGTTTTTCTGATTGAAGGGATCTAGTAATCTTTAGGACAGCTCAAGGAGGGGTAAGCTATCCTAAGGATTTAAGGGCAGAAAAGATGGGTGTTTGGGAGCTGGGGTGGAGGAGTTTATCAGCATTGAGATTTGGAACAATCTACTGAGGCTATAATTTAAAAGCTATGTATTCACAATTAAAAACAAACCCAACCACAGTAACTGTTATGTTATACATTTAGGTTGAAAACATAGCAACATGCCAAAATAACATGTCCATTGTATGTTTTGCTTGGTTAGTTGGTGCAAAAATTTTCTAAATCTCCTGCTGTATTAGAAGCTGAAAAGGGAGGGAAATTCCAAATGTTTGATGGAAACATCTCTGGTGAATATACAGAACTGGTAAGTAATCTTAAGTTAAAGGAAAGTAAGCTAGACTCTTCAGTTAAAATGCTTTATTCATGCTGTTTTTAAAAGCGCTTTGGTTTTTATCTGAGCTCACAGAAACTTGAACGCTTTATAAAGTTGGTTATAGGGCAAATAAAAGATTTATATTTACTAAGTAATAATAAAGATGAAGCCTTAGTTTCACAGTAATTGTACACTATTTATGACTTTTAGAAGATGCAAGAAGATGCAATTCCTCCCAACTCTTGGGTCTAGAAGTTTCTGGTCTCTGCCACTAGTATGTGTGTTGCCAAATGTCAGCTGCCTTCCTCTTAACAGCAGCTCTGTACTGGATACCACACTTCTGTCTGGTGTCACTGCTGTTACATTTTGGCACTAGGGACAGTGAATCCTCAATGGTGCTGGCACATAAACCAAGTTGAGAGTGTATGTTCATTGATTACTTCTTGTATTTCTCCCATAGGGGTTTCTTTGGTGTTTTTCTTTGTTGTAGTATTGTACAAAGTTTTAAAAGATGTTTTCAGTGGAATTTCCCCTTTGTTTTCAGTTAACAAATAAAAAGATCGTTATGAAATGGAGACGTAGGAACTGGCCAGAAGGTATGTTATTAGCACCAAAAACACTTCAAGTATTCTACCCCCTACTGTGAAAAGCAAATAGTGGTACTGTATGGATAAATTCTTTTTATAGTACAGTAATAAACTTTCCTTTTTGTAATGAACTTTCCTTTTTTTCTTCCAGAACACTATGCAATAGTTGCACTGAATTTTGTGCCTACGCTAGAGCAAACAGAATTAGAATTGGACTGTAAAGGAGTTCCTGTCTGTGAAGAAGAGAACATGAAATTTTGTTGGCAGAAGCAGCATTTTGAAGAAATAAAAGGTTTACTGCAATTGACCACCTTAAATGGTTGAGTTAGTTAGGAGACTTTATAAGGGCATTACTTTCTGTAAGCAGAAAGTATCATGTTTACCTCTTCCTCTATTGTTCCTTTAAAAAAAAATATACTAGATGAAATCCACGAACTAATACAGAATTGAAAGCATTGTTTGAATCTTTATTTACTATGACTAGACTCTGCACTGAGCTAAAAGCAAGCAATGTGAAATTAGATTGTTAACGTTACCATCCATAGATGCTCCTCTGGGGATAGACTGCGTCTCCAAGTATGGATAGTTGAAGTGTCCCAAGCTAAAGCTTGTCTTAGCAAACCTACTTTTAGCTGTAATTTTTAATTCAGGAAAAGACAAATGGCATGTTGGTACTTCCTTTATTTTACTTCAGGGTTTTTAAGGTGTGTAGCTCTTAGGTCGTGAAACAGTGGCATGTTGCATTCAGAAGCATGTTGATGTGAGGGCAAGCGGGCTGTATTGGTATGCTTCTCCCTGCAGCAGTTATGCGCTTTGGAGTGGCGAGGACTGAAAAGTCTATGGAAAAAGGTACTTTTTGGCCTGCCACTATACTTCTGATGAAGTATACATTGGACAAGTACATCTCCCAATTCACAGTTTTCTCATTACTTTCATCTGAGAAGACTGAAGCAAGGTATGTAAACAATTAAAAAGTCATCACAATCAGTTTAATTAAGTGCATAGAATAGCAATCAGTCATGTCAATAAAAATAAAACAATTATTTTTACATCAAGTGTGCTTTATTTCCTCCACAGGTATTCTGTTAAATAAAGCACCATTTATATACTGCCAGGCCACAGCTAAAGAGGATTCTTTACAGAATCAAATTTCTTGTGGTTGTTCCGTATACAAGTAAACTTAATTTTGATAATAAGAACCACAGCGATCGGAGGCAATCTGCCTCTATTATAAGGTACAAAACTGGCACAGAGGACACCATATTATACACAGTAAAAATGCTGTAAGTTTAAATTACATTGTACAGGGCCAGAGAACCCTGTGCCTCCCAGACAGCCATATTAAATGAAAGCCACTACAGTGAACTCTTAATTACGTAAAACATATTCATTATCTGATTGCCCTTTAGAAAGTATACTGAAGATGCAAATTTTTTCATCTGAAGTTTCTGCCTGGCCAAGAATTAAGCCTATAAATCTATCTTGCCATTCAAGCAGAGAGCACTGGACAAACTGAAGCACGAAAACAGAAATAAGCAAAACTTATACAAACAGCATTGGGTTGGGGGAGGGGTGACCTTAAAAGTAGACATGCTACATCTAATGTCAAGAAGCAGCTTGGTTTCCTTTGCCAGATATCCTTGTGACCACATGGATTGTAGATTCAATGGTCCTACACAGGGTATCTAGAATGTCGTGCTGCTGCATGTGACTAAAGAGTCCTCTGGAATGGCCACAGCTGAGTGATAAAGCTGCCTCAGGGTCCTGGGAGGGCAAAGCTTGACCGTCACAGCTTCTCAAGTCAGCTAAGTCAGACAGAACTGCAGAAAGCGAAGTAGAAGGGAACTCAGATTCTTCCTCAGCAAGGTTAGAATCCTTGGAACAGTGGAGGTCTTTCAATTCCTTACAGTCTTCAAACCTACCATTGTTGGACTGTTCTTCTGCATGCTGTGACCTGATATTTGATGTGTCTTCTGAAAACGAAGATGGAACTTCCACTCGGTATTCTTTAACAGAACTGTTTTCAGGGGAAGGAAGATCTTGCTCGGTGCCTGGGTCGATGATCGAGGAGTCTCTTGTCTCATTGTCTGAAGTGCTAGTTGGTGTCAGGACCTCCCTGGTTTCTGTCTTCATGTCACTGATGCAGCTGTCGACAGTGTGCTCCTCATCACTGCTAACGCGCCGCCTTTTAACAGGAGTTGCCCCTTCATCATCTGTGAAAACGAACATGAAAATTTCTCTGAAGAGAGTCATTAAGATCATATTGGGGGTATTTGCATTTTCTAGCATTTATATTCAGGAGGCTCACACAACTACTGTAAAATCAGTAGCAGAGAGTGTATTTGTCCCTTCTTCCACCCCCTAAAGTCAATATTTTATTAGTCTGCAAAGCTAACCTTTAGTTTTTCTTTCTTTGGCTTCTTGCTCTTGGAGTGAGTTTCTCTGCTGCAGACAAGTCCTGCATTTGCTTAAAAGCTCTTGCAGAGTTGGAATCAGAGCCGGGTTTAATTGTTTGGGAGTATGTACCGACAGGAGCAAAGCAAGTGCCCGTAAGTCCTACAAAAATCCAAACAGGAACATTTTAAATTCCAAAGCCAACATTTTAACACACTGTTAGTAGTTTAAATGCACATGTTTATTACTCTTCCAGGAATCCATCCTGGTTCCTCTGGTATTTTTAGAAGAATGCTAAAACTAGAAAGCCAGTGTTATGATACTACTGTCTTTGTATTTCATTGGTTCTAAGTCACTAAAACCATTGTTCTTTGCACCACACCACTTGACTGAAGACCTAAACAGTGTTTTCTGAAAATGGAAAAAAAAAAATCAGTAATAAAACTTATACAGGAATTTTAAAAACAAACCCTGAATGATCCATAAACAATTTAGGCCTCATTAATCTAGGAGTCAGTTTTCAAAGATGCTTGATTTCTAGTGGGTACCACAGGTCATCTTCATGTAGCGCTGTAATCTACCCTGGCCTCTAAGCATTTTGTTACCTAGAAGGCAGCTGCTGGAGGTGTGCCTGCACATGCTGGTGGGTATTTCATTTTTCTGTAACATGGCTTTCATGAAGTCTATATGAGCAACCAATTCCCCAGCTTTAACTGGCTTTATAGGCAGATTATTAACTTGATTTTCAGTCCCTTATAAGTCACAGGCACTAATAGAAACATCACAAGTAACATTTTAAAAAATTTGAACAAGTAAAGGGAATGTCTCCTCTTATTGGTTTTACTACCCTTAGCATTTTATGACATTGGCTCATGTCTTTAAGGTGACAGAAGGTATGCTACATACATAAAAGGCAGAGGGAACACATTTTCATTTGGTTAGGTTTTCATCATATATGACTTCTACAGTTTGAATAAGAAGTTAAAATTATGTATATACCAAGGCCAGATTTAGAGTTGATATAATAAGGAAAGTTTGAAAGTACATGACTACTGCCTTGTATAGTTCTTACCCCATTTAAAGCAGCACTTGCTTTGGAAATTTCAACTCTGTTGGTGAAATCAGACTGCAAGTTCTGATACTGATTTATCAAGTTTGTAATAAGGGTGCTGATCAAATTGGCACAATTTGCTTCAGAAAACACTTGACCTTGAACCTGAAAAAGATGATTAAAAAAAAAATCTCCAAAAGACTGAACACAATGAAAACACAACCATTAACTAACTGAAAGTAACAAGCTGAGTTTCCAACTTGTGACGTACCTTTAGAAGAAAATGTGTCATGAATGTGTAGACAATGTTGTTATTTAGGAAAGTTCTTTCATCCATTAAGATGCATTTTATATATTCTGCAAAAACAGGATCTTCACACAAAAGCTTGATGCAGTTTTTTGACATAGCAGACTAAAGTGGGGGAAAAAAGCACTGATTGGTTGAGCATATAATAAGTGCAAGTCTTAAATACACTGTTGATAGATATACATTCACAGTCACTTAACATGCTATTGGAAAAACCACCTCTCTTTGGCCATGCCATGTGGCTTGTGGAATCCTAGTTCCCAAATCAGGGACTGAAGCTGGGCCCCCGGCAATGAAAGCACAGTGTCCTAACCACTAGACCACCACGGGAATTCCCAGAAAAGCCACTTCTACTGGGTTAGTCAAAAAGTTCATTCAGGTTTTCGTGTAAGATGTTATAGAAAAACCTGAACAAAGTTTTTGGCAAGCCCAATACTTTAATCTACTCAACTCTTGGTTACAACTATACTCCCAATAACTTAAATGGGTAAGTGTTAAAAAGAGACTTGTAAGAAGTCTGAAAGGCAAAACTGAACAAATATATTCTAAAAGAAATGCAGCCTTATTACGTAGCATTAAGAGTTAATAAGGACTGGAAAAATAAGACTAACAAATAGGATGATGTTTTCAGGGGAAAAGAGATAACCAAACCACCCACAGAGAAAAGATAAATTTTAAGAAATAATTTTATTCCCTAAAATTAGTTAAAACTTGCACTATTATAATGTCATAACAATAGTAATTTGTTTGGTAAATCCCTTTCCCCCACACCTTCCTAAATATTGCAATGGTAAACAGCAAACCTCTTTTCCTAATTGTTTCACACAGAAATCAGTGGGTCCCAAAATATATAGAAATTGTACTAAAATTTGGTTTTCCTATTTTCAAATGGTCATGGCTCTTAAACACAAGTAGTATGTCTTTAAGTATATTCCCTAGATTATTTATGTGTGTTTTAATAACAGATCATTTACATGGAAGAAAAACTGGATTATTTTTTTAAAATAGGACAAAGTTTAGATAATACTGTACATGCATATACTTGTTGTAAGTAAACTTCTTAAGGTCAACCCAAGAAATTAGGAGTCAAGTACAGCTGGCACCCAGGTTTTCAGATCCTTGGTGTCGGGAAAATCTGCCTTACTCTACCAGTAACAGTCTCTGCCTATGACTCCTGCACAGCACAATGGCTTTTTCTATAGGGGTGCTCGGGGCTTTGGAAGCTTGAGGTGCTGTGACTTTGTTTTAAGGGAAGTTGCGGGGCAGGGGTGATGAATTCTGTGGGGGAAAAGCCAAGAAAGTAGTGCAGCGCAGCAGCAGATAAAGCAATAGGGAAGCAACAGGCAGTGGCAGAACACAGAAACCAAAGAAAGCAACCACCAAAATCAAGAAAAATGAAAAAAGCAGCAGCAAGTGGCAGAGTTTGGGGCGGGGGGGGGGGGGGGGATATATGTTCCAATTTACTGAATAAACCACTCAGCTCAGAAGTCAACCAGCAAGTTGTTTTCTGTGTATTTACTATGTACTATTTCATATGACTAGCCTACCAAACATTCCTAGTATAGAAAACAA